AGAAGGAGCTCGGGCTGAGATGGAGGCCACCCTGGCCAAAGAAAGGGCTGCCCATGTCGAGGATAAACAAAGATATGCAAATGCCACTGCTCTTCGAGCTCGGCAGATGCTTTGGGCGACGACCACTGGGCAGCTCTTCCTCCGCGAACATCGTGCTCAAGTGGTGGCTGACTTCATGCAGTCACCACAATATTTAAAGGAGTTGCAAGATTTCGGGGTAGACTGCTTCCAGTTTGCCCTGCAAAAGGCCGGAGAGCAGATTGCTGAAGATGATTTCGAGCAGCTCGATCCCCTGGCTATTTGGGATGCTTTGCCTAAGGTACCCTCGAGCTTTCGTGGGGACCCCTCCTTGCCAGTCGAGCATGAATGGTGGTCGGGCCAGCTCGAAAGAACCCTAGGCCGGTCAGAGGTTTTGAAGAAGACCTTCGCTCTGCCCGATGATACTACTCCTCCTTCTGCCATGTTGGTCGCGCTGGCTGAATCTGTTCGACAACGTCCTCTCACTGAAGCCTGCGATTCGACCTCTGGCACCGGCCCTCAGCTCGATCCTAATGCTAGCTCGAGCAACGCTGACTCCACCACTGCTCCTCCGTCATAGCTTAGCATTTGTATTTTTCGCTTTGTTTTTCTCGAATCGAACTATGTACCTTAATGAATTTTGTACTGTTCTTGGAATGGAAGTGTTTTTTCTTTCAGTTTGTCTTTATCTTCTATAATGCTTGTGGGTGATTAGGCTTGGTGTTTTTGTTGCAACTCTTCTGTTTGGAGGACTAAAGCAACCTTCAAAGTAAGATTGATGTAGACTTTAGTATATGATCAACAAGCTTTCACTAGCCAACCTATTCTTCGTTTATCGGATCGATGTTTGTGTGTTTGTCTCATGACCGCTCGGATACTTTACATTTTAACATATGTATATACATATATGCCCACCCTTGGAGGTGGTCGAAGCACGCGACCGTCCAGCCTCAATGCCTTGAACATGACGGGTTTTAGAATTTTGAACACATGCCCACCCTTGGAGGTGGTCGAAGCACGCGACCGTCCAGCCTCAATGCCTTAAACATGATGGGTTTTAGAATTTTGAACACATGCCCACCCTTGGAGGTGGTCGAAGCACGCGACC